AATGTTTTTGTTGTTGTTAATTAAAATCAAAAGATACTTTTAGAATATAAACCTTACATCGGTACAAACTTGTTACAGAATAAAGCATACAAAAGGATTCTGGAATACATATCACCATTTTGTTAATTTTCCATTTTGAGAATTTATTTTATTTATTTTCTTAATTGTTTTATTGGCGTAGAATTCACATAGCATACAATTTCATTTTTCAAATCTTTTATATTAAGAAGAGTTGTGCAATCATAGCCACAACCAATTTCAGAATATTTTTTTCTTGTACTCGTTGCTGCTAACACCCCCATTCCCCCTCAATCTCCCCTACCATGGCCCTAGGTCATTATTAATCTAAATGATAACCTCCAGCATTTTTTCTTAATTTAGCCCTGGCGTGCAATTTCCAAGGTAATCTTAGTGTCTGGTGCCAAAATCCTTGAATGTAAACCAGGTCTTCTTGGGAGAAGTCAGATACTTAGAACCCCACGTAAATATAGAGACAGTCATCATTTAATCAAATGCTCTACTTTTCATTTAAAAATGGAAATGGTCCTTGTAATAATTCAGATGTGCATATGATTTTAGCCCCACAGCAAGCCTTTTCAAAGTCTTCTTCCTTGTAAGACATGGCTTAAGGGGATGACTTTAATAATTTTCTGCATTCTGCAATTGTCAAACACTGCACAGAATCAACACACTGAAGAGAATACCAATTTCACTGACGCCAGCCCTAATCACCCTTCCCCTGTGGAAAACACAAATTGACTGCTGTCAGGGTACGGGCTTTATTACAAAGTACATTCTGCATGTGCCTTAAGACGCTGCCTGATTAAAAGAAGTGGAATGTCAGAGTGGTGAGGAGGAGTTCTCAGTAAGATGAGTCCACAGGTGCAACGTTATCAAACTTAACCAATAAAACACAAATAAAGCATTGTAGAAATAAAACTTTAAAAGATCTGAAAATTGTTCTATTCCAACAATGAAACTGATGGTTCAAAACGTCCCCACTAAGTGGAGTTGAGTCTTTCATAGTGCATCTTTTTATTGCACACCTGAAGGGTATGGAGAGACTAAACAATGTCATCTTCTAAAAGCCCATTTTGGTATTTTTCCTGAAGTTGTCTCTCTGTTTATTCCACAATCTTTATATAATAAAGTCAACTCTTTGCTCTTCTAATAGAAATACTAAAATAACAATTGCCTTCTCTACCTTTCCAGTAGAAGTCATAATGATCTAAGGAAATAAATAGTATATTGTTATCTAGTAAAAACTCAACTTTACATAGTACATCAGATAGTTGAACCTAATTTTAGGTAGTTGTGCCAAAAATACCTATTTAAAATGAAATTTTATATGAATTACAGATGTTAGTGTTCTTCTAAATAAATAAATAAATATATATTTATATGGATTATAATGATCTTTATAAAATTACGAACAATCTTTAGAACATCATCATCTTAGGGATCACAACTTTTTTCCCCTTACTTTTCTTAGGGGCTCTTACATCTCTTAACACAATCCATACATTCATCCAGTGTGTCAAGCATATTTGCACATATGACACCATCATCATTTTAAAGCATTCTCTTCCCACTTGAGCCCCTGATATCAGTTCCCCATTTCTTCCCTCTCCCTCCCCCACCTGCCCTCCCTCACAAATGCTTGATAAGTTATAGATTATTATTTTTATATCTTATATTCTCCTCCATCGTGCCGCACCCACAACTTTCCACTAAATATTTGATGCGTCCTTCCCCCCACTATCATGACCTCAATTCTGCCTTACAAATCAGATTAACCAGAACATGCACACTGCTGCAGATCAGAGCTCGCAACACAGGGAATTAAGGCCAACAATGAGAGTAGAGATACCAGGAGGATTAGGGGAGGGTGGGGAGAGAAAAGGGGAATTGATCACAAGGATCAACCTATAACTCTCTTCCAGGGGCATGAATATGTAATTTTTTAATACTGGTTTTCCTCATTCCATCTAAAGAAAATACAGAGTATATATGCAGAGGGAGACTTAGATAGACTAGGAAACTATACAGAATACAGAAACTATACAGAATAGTTTCTTTCACTTCGCAAAAATGTGGCATTGTTGTTAAGGCACCGTGCTTCTTAAAAAGGACATATTATAATATCACTCCAAGTCCAATAAACTAGGTAATAGGAAGATGTTATGAACAAATATAGGAACACATGAAGGGTTGGTGCTTTCTGAACACCCAAACACCTTCAAGCACACGTATGGGTGGTGCATCTTGGTCACACAGGGACTCTGTTTGATACACATTTTTAAGACAAAAGGTAGGATACACCTAATTTTAAGATTAAAGATGCCCAAATGGCAATTGTCTCTTCAGCATTTAAAAAAAATTAAAATCGTCAGTATTACTACTTTCTCCTTCCCTTTTCTTAGGTGATCATATTATATGATCCTTTGGTTCTTTATGTAAATTCAGTTTCCTGATGAGAAAGTATCTGTTCAATGGAATAGGTTGACCAGATTCTCCTGTAAGGACAGTCAGCTACACTTGCATTCATTGAATTTCAAATAATCTCAAAGTAATTCATTCATTAGAACGTGTTACAACACAATGCCGGTCAAGGTTCATGGTCATCATCTAGGCATTAAATGTTTTAGATAGGATTCTTGCTTTTAAATGACCTAATAAATCTTCTTTTTCTGAAAGTTGTCCTTGCCAAAAATCTTCCACTTGGTAACAATCACCATCCTGGATTAAAATACGTTCCCCCAAAATGTGTAAACTTGGCTAGATCATTATTCTCACTCATATTTTTGTCCTTCAGTTTGTGATCTGATGTAATTACCCTGCATTGTCCGAAGCATTGTAATTGTGACCTCCATGTAATAATGAAGGATCTCTGATGATGCTGTGGGTAAGCTCTGGAGGCCTAATCACATGTTCAGTGGTTCAAAACCACCAGCCAGTTCATAGGCTAAGATTGTGAGTCAGCAGGGGATTTGGGGTTATAAGTCAATCAGGCAGGACTAGCGTGACCATATCTTGAATCACCATCCTTACTCGAGCCATGTCTTTGCTTGAGAAAATAGAGCAGAAGGACCTCACCCAAAAAGATCCACGAAGAGGGGTGTCCTTCACCAAGCACCTCCTGGACGCTAGGAAGATTGATGTCAAGACATATGGAGGCCTCCAAGGAACCAGGAGGCAGAAGCAAAGGGCAAGAACCTTCTTCAGAGCTCACAGAGAGAGAAGTCCTTCCCTTCAAGCCAGTGCCCCGAATTTAGATTTCTTGCCAACAAAATG